CAAGTGAACAAAATCAATAATTTTTCCTTTTAACCTACTTACTGGAACCCCTAGGAGTCTATAAGGATATCTTTCTACTTGTGAACCCTGCAACTAACTTTGACCGTTAACCCGACCGTTCCCATATCCTGTCCAGTAATGGGCGCCAAACATACCATCATCTTGATATCCTGTCCGATATGAAGGTAAAGCATATCTCACAAACTCTTATAGTATGAGACCTCTCAGCCTCGTCCGACTAAGGTAATGTCTACTGTAGGATTTTCGATGTATCGGGTTCTTCCACCATTTTTCAGGATATAAAGTAAGTCTTTCTTATAAATATTTTCATCAACAAAACAACCACTAATCGCATACCAATATCTCATTTCATATTCACAAGTTAATTTAAACGGCATCTAAGCAAACAATACAGTTTAACAATCAAGACACGTAATCAAGACCTTTATTTCCAATCCATCAATCTAATCAAAGAAATCATGATTAGACAATATAATCAATAAATAAGAAATAATTCAAAGCAATAATTTTAAGCACATGACGGATAATAAACAATTTAGGTGGTATAGGAAAGATAAATAGACAACATAGACAAGTTAGGTCAATCATACACTGACCAGTTCTCGGCTCCACTAGTGATCTGTAATTATTGTTAGAGTTTTTTTTTTTAATTTTCATCGAATATGAGATTATTGATTATTAAGCCTCAATTTACTGTAACAGAGAATAAGATGAGAGATCCTTATCTAGATTAGTATTTCAAAGTGCCGTACTGTCTACTATGCCTCTTAACGGGCTCTGGGTTTTCTGAATTTTTTCTGCGAAAATCAAAATACTCGTCATGTACCCAAAATACTCCAAAACTCAAAATCGGTGTTGAAAAACTTTTTTGACAAATTTTAGAGTTCTGGCACAGTGACACCAACTCCACCGCCCACGATAGCAGTTCGCCTCAGCCTGGATAGTTTTGATCAGTTTTACACGTATCCCTGTGAAAAGCACATTAAGAAGTCTCGGTTGGCTGAAAAAAATAAAAAATTGAAACCTACTGGCCGGGAGGGGGGGTCTCCGAGTGCGGCGGCTCCACCGGTCCTCCTTCACAGCTGAGGTTTTTCTTCGGCTAACCTACACCAGAAAGATACGGTCAACACAATGGTCAAAGAATCATGTGAAACAAAAAGTGAGAATCAGAGAAGGTTTTGGGTTTTGTCTGCGGCGGCTCTGCCAGATTTTAAACACAATTTCTGATTCACCCGCCGTCCCTTTTGCCTTGATATGACCATAGGGAGACTCTAAATTGAATTTTGAGTGGGAAGAAGAAAATTTTACATTTTTTGGCAGTCGATGGTGACTCTGATGCGACGGTGGCTGGTGGTCAGCCTCCTTCTCCAGCGTTTTGTTATTCTTATCCGGCGAGGGTTGGTGTGGCTAGAGTTAGGATTTTTTGAAATACGATGCTTAAATACCTACAACATTGGATCTATCTTATTCAGAGAATGAATCTGGACTACACGATTGGATTGAATTTGACCGTTCGATCGCGTTTAAAAAGAGAATGCATTTGGGCCATTCATGTGCACGGAATGAGATTTGAACCGTCAGATCACCAAGCACGCGATTACTCGTGTGGCCTCTCGCATGGTGTCGATGTCAGCAGGGTTGCCACACAGCTACTCTAGTTCGCCAGGACTGTTGACCAAGCCATCCCACGTGACCAAACTTTTCTTTTTTGCGATTTAACTCTCTATTTTTAATTTTTTTTTTAAAAACATCTTCCGAATTCAAAATTTCACATATTTTTTCTATAATTATTTTCAATTTCGTCTCTAATTCATTTTTTTTCAAAAATTCAATAAAATCAAATTAAAATAAATTCAATTAATTATTTATATAATTTATTATAAATAAAAATAATTATCTCGTACCGATTTTTGGAACTGGGTGTTACATTATATTTGAACATTCTAAAAGATAATTTAAATGCACAATATTAAATAATTAGTTAAATTAGTAATTTAATTTAATTAAAATTACTTTTTAATTATTTTTAATAATATAAAAAACTAAAAAAATAAAAAATATGAAAAATAAAATTATAAAAAATATTTGGTAGCCATATGGCAAATAACAGATTTTAAATAATAATTTGATAATATTTTCAAAAGAAAAACTTCTCTAAATGTCTCATTTCCTCGCAACTGCAAACCGCGTGTTGTATACGTGTCGGGACATCTACAAATTAGCGTATCCTTGGCTTCCTGCCATAACAACTGCTTTCGTCTTCTTCTTCTTCTTCTTCCTCCCGGCGCAGCAGCACTTGTGATTGTAATTTTCGAGGTTCATAAGGAAAAAAATGGCCGGATTAAGCTACCTGACTGATTATCCGCCGGCGAAGAATCCGGTGGTGGTGGTGAGTCCGCAGTTCTTGGCTCCGTACCCGGTGGACCTGATTATCACCAAGAAGCTATTCAAACTCGGAGAAACCAACTTTGAAATCGCCGATGTTAACGGCAAGATTTTCTTCACTCTGAAAAGTAAATTTATCAGCCTCCGCGATCGCCGCGTGTTGCTTGACGCCAGCGGTGCTCCTCTCCTCACTCTCCAGCAGAAGGTCTCTCTTATCTCTTGCACTGTTTCATTTTGTTTTTGTTACGAAATTTGGTGCCATGAGAAATCCTTGATCTTAGGGTTCCTAAATTTCCTAAATCTTAGAGCTAGTAATTGATCTAATATATGATTTGGAAACAGAATCATGTTATATTATCTTTAACGTTAAGCAAATTTGTAGTTGACTTGAGCTTAATTGAATCCAGTGAGTTCTTAAGGTTTGACTTGAGCTTAAATTAAGTGAAATATAAAATTACGAAATAAAATGAGTTATTGAAGTAGTTATTTCAATTGATTGGATGAATCTTGCGAACTTTATACGATCAGTAGGATGATGATTGAAAAAACCACAAATATCAAAGCTACGTCGTCTCAAACAGTGGTGTTTGATCAAGAATTCCTGTTAATTCAAGAGACGAAGAATTTGCTGAATTGAAATAAAATTTGGAATGATTTTAACGGGGTTTGTGATATGTGGTTTTCAGATAATTACTGCTCACAGGAGATGGCAAGTTTTCAAGGGAGGCAGCACAGACCAGAAAGATTTACTTTTCAGTGCGAAAAAATCGTCATTAATCCAGCTAAAGACTGAATTATTTGTTTTCCTGGCTCAAAACACAAGCGAATCAGCCTGCGATTTCAAGGTGAAAGGTAGCTGGCTGGAGAGAGCTTGCACCATCTATCTTGGGGATTCCAACACCATTATTGGACAAGTAAGATAATTCTTTTTATGGTAAAACTTGATAATTAGGAGGATTTATGCTATTTTGTAAATCAATTACTGTTGTTATATTGTTTATCTTGAAATCTACTATGCTAATCATGATTAATTTCGGGTATATAGCTTTTTCCTTCTGTTTGTTTTGCCTGTTGGGCAACTCTTTTTGATAATTTGGATACAACATAACAAAAATGATGAATACTTTTATATGTGTGAATCAATTGACAGATGCATAAGCAACATACCGTTCAGAGCATTTTGCTGGACAAAGATTCCTTCGCGGTGACTGTGTATCCTCATGTGGATTATGCCTTCATAGTGGCTCTGGTCATCATTCTGTACGAGATCAACGAAGATCGCAGTGGCGACGACTAAATAAGAGATATTCATATATGATATGATCATATCCATCATACATCTTCTGTTAATGTTCACTTAAAAAGTAAAAAAATGTATTTGTGTTTAGGCATTCTATGATGTATGGATTTGTTATTACTGATTTTCTTCTAAGGAAACTATGTAATGTATGTTATTTTTGTTATTGTTTGTTCAATTTACTTCTATTTTCTTTTTTCCGTTGAAGAGGCTTATAGGATCGTTATCTTGTTTTACCAAACTTCAGAATCTTAGCATAAACGACAAGATAAACAATGTCCTGCAAAATTAAAAGGACCACAAAAGTTGGAGGTTCCAGATAAGATAAAGTCTAATTAAATTGCAAAGAAATTCTTTGGTAACAGTATGAGCTACCATGTTAAATCCCTTAATATCCTGGTAATAGAAACATAAGAGAAAACAGCACTTAGTGAAAGAAAATCCTCAACGTGGAGGTCAAGTTCAGAATTTAATGGTTCACAGCCGGTTGTAAGTCCTCCTTAACTTGAAAGTACTTGTAATTCCCATCTCTTTGGCAAGCAGCAACCAGACTTCCATTGCAGACTGCAAGAGGTTTAGTTCTTTCTCATTCCAGCGAACATAATAATCCCTTTATGATCATTATACACAATCCTATTCTTGTGTACCCATTAAGTTCAATAGAGGCATCACAATTAGGTTTATATATTTTGTAGCACCCGGAAAGGGGCCGAAAAAAAAAAAAAAAAAAAAAGCCACGTCGGCAGCCACGTCAGCAGGCCCGGTCAGCAGTCCCGGCCAACCGGGACCTGCCACGTGGCAAGACCACGTCGTTCCGGAACGGGCCACGTTGGCGATCCGCGTAGGCGCGATCGGACGGCCCAGATCAAGCGTGCGATCGGACGGCCCAGATGAAATCGCACGGACGACCCAGATTCAATAAAAAACGGACGGCCCAGATTAAAACAAAATGGACAGCTGAGATCAAAAGGCAAAGGGTTATAAATAGAACCCCCACACCAGACCACAAACCCTAGCCGCCTGCCGCTCGCCGGAGAAGACGAACCAGAAGCCGGACGCCGCCACCCGCCGCCGCACCGGGGAAATTTCTGACCGCCGATCGAGGTAAATTTCGTACTCCCGACTCGTTTTTCCACGCTGATTCCTCCTGTTGCCAAATCAGAGCCGAAATCCCGGCCAAACGGCCGGAATACACTGCCGAAGCCAAGCGGCGCCGCCGCGCCCCTTCTCGGTTTTTGCCTCCGATGAGGCCCTTTCCGGGCTCCGTTTAATGCAATTTTTATATCAACGTGATCACCATTCTTTTCTCTACAGGTTGATCGGAGCCGAATCACCAAAACACGAACTTCACCGGAGAGCCGCCGCACCCGAGAGCACCGCCGCCGGTAAGCTTCGGTTTTCTATAAATTTTCGGCCCCCCGAGGGCCGTAGGGTTGTTTTATCACAGGAACCAATGCGAGTGTGGCCGAATTCGGCCGGAAACGGCCAACCCGAGGCAAACCGCCGCCGTGCCGGAGTTGCGATATTGGCCGAAAGGGGCCCTGGGCCTAATTTGGGATTTTTTGGAACACGTGCAGGTACCAGTAGTGCGTTTCAGTTCCCCGAGAAAAATTCAGGGAAAATTAGGGACAGCCTGTAGGCGCACTGTGAAGCCGTGTTCGGACCCCGAAACGAGTAAGGACCCCTCACCTTATTTCCTATCATGGTTTTAAAGTTCAATAAATGATAAAACGGTATTTCATGAATCAACGAATGTGTGAAATTGCTTAAGGTCGCTAATACAGCCCAAGTCTAGTGTATTTGTCGGTTAACTGTTATTTGGCATGTTTTACAGTTTTAAATGCAGCATGAGGTTCGATGTTTTTATTTTATAGTTTCGTGTGCATATTTTACTGTTTTATTGATTATGGATTAAATGACTGGGATATTGATGCTGTATGTTGTCTGTTTAGCATAAATTACTGTTTGCTTGCTTGTATGTGGATTAATGATGCTGACTGAGGAAAAAGAGAATGAAAAATTATGTAAATGGGTAATGGTATAATGTAGTCAGCCTGACTAGATATCCTGAGAGATGGTGGACGGACCGGGTCCATAGGGAACCCTACCGGGATTGTGGTCTCCCATACCGGACGGGGTATGGAGATCTTATGTATTTTGGCGCCCATACCGGACGGGGTATGGGGACGGCCCGTTTCACCCTCATACCGGACGGGGTAATGAGGTCTATGTTTTGGCGCCCATATCGGACGGGGTATGGGGACGACCCGTTTCACCCTCATACCGGACGGGGTAATGAGGTCTATGGTTTGGCGCTCATACCGGACGGGGTATGGGGACGGCCCTGGAATGGATTTCAAGTGTTAAGGATTAACGGGTAGCGGGACCCCTATGGATCCCCATAGATACTAGTGGGCTGGTGAATCAGGAAAATATATTGTGTAACGATTGAATTACGAAAAGTTTGATAGGTATTATGTTATACAGTTCATATATATGTTTTCATGATGATGATGATGTTATTGCTTTCGTATATTGTTTTATGAATTTCACCGAGGTAAGTGAATGGTAAAGGTTTTATTATTAATAAAAGGATTTGTTGTAAATTATGCTCCATTGGTCTTTTTGTGTTTTCTACCCACCTTTACCTCCGTGACGGTGAGATATCGTGATGTCTTTACTGGGCTAGTGTAGCTTATTCCTTATTTAATCATTTCAGATCAAGAGGACATCGTTCCCGAGCCGGTTCCGCAGGAGGACGACGAAGGGGACGCCTAAAGACTCCCTAGTCACATTCGTAGTTTTTTACTTTCAAGTTTCTCCTTTAGGTAGTTTAATATTTTATATTTTGTGAGCACGTTTTTTGTTTTAGTGTAAGGGATGTTATTCAAATTTTGACTT